ACAGCACATGTTTTTACATATAAAACTCTTAACAAAACCACTAACTGGCTTTTAAAATCAAAATATTTCTAAAGCCACTGAAAATACCCAATTCCTTTGCAGTGGTTTGTCCTTGCATTGTATCTCACTGAAACCTAAACCTTCTAATCACACATTTGGTACATGCTGCATTTCATGTATCTTACCAGCTTCTTTTTCAGGTAGCTGCAGCAGTGCTGGCATAGGTGGGTGAAGAAAGTAACAGTCCTCGTGTTTCTGTTTAAATTTCTCAGCAGAAGCAGAATCTATGCTAAGGGCAAACCAAGCAACTAACTCGTCTTCTTCATCTTCTTGCAGAACTCTCCCATTGCAAGCAGCTGCCAGGTTCTGATGAAGTTCAACTCCAAGAAAAATCAAGGTACACTCTTCAGTTTTGTTCAGGCACTGCTCCACATCCTTGTGGTACAGTCTGCAAAGCTTTACTTCTGGCTGCTGGGAACTATCTATTCCCCCACCCAAAGTAACTAGGGGACTTAGATTTGAGAAGAGGATGTATACTGTAGTTGGATGGCTTTGTTTTTTATTCAGCCACTTGGAATCTGTTCTTTTATCACTCCTTCTGTCTAAAAGTGTCATGCCAAAATAATTTTCATATTCTTTCACGTCACTTGAAAAAAAACTAGGCTTCTGATCACCCTTGACATTAGCCAACAAATTAGCTATGTGTTTGTACCCCCAAAATTTTGCGATGTCCAGAGCTGTCTGCCTTGATTTATTAATGATGGATCTGTCACACCTAAAAAACCAGAAAAGAACTGTGGTTACCAGGGTAAATATGTTTAGGAAGAGTCCTGGCGCTGTGTTATTCTTACTTACACCATATCTGATACCATTAAGGTGCAAGAACTTCTAGACACTCTGTCTATACTGGGGTACTCTTTATTTTAGCACATAATGCTAAATATTTAGCATTATGGTAATGAAAAGTAATTGTACGTCATTTTCTTTTGCTAAGGCCAGATTTCTCATTTTTGTTGATCCACTCCAGATTATTATTCACTGAGCTTCATGCAGTACTACAACAGCAATGGATTAATTAAAATCCCACACATTGTATCATAGGGAAAAAAAAAGGTCAAGATAGAACTTCGAAAGTCAGGCTACGGGTCTGTTCCTCACAACCAGTAACAAAAATGAAAAATAAAACATTTATAAAAGTTTAACAAGCATTACTTTCTAGTAGCTATTCAAATTAGCATTAAAACATTTACAATAAAATATTTTATTGAGATCACTTTGTTTGTTCAGCTGGAGGAGACTGAGGGGAGATCTCATTGCAGTCTACAACTTCCTCGTGAGGGGAAGTGGAGGGGCAGGCACCGATCTGTTCTCTCTGGTGAACAGGGCCTGAGAAAATGGCATGAAGCTGAGTCAGGGGGGTTTAAGTTAGATGTTAGGAAACCCAGAGGGTGGTTGGACACTGAACAGAGTCATCAGGGAAGTCGTCACAGCACCAAGCCTGAGTTGAAAACGTGTTTGGACAATGCTCTCGGGCACATGGTATGGTTCTTGGGGCGTCCTATGCAGGGCCAGGAGTTGATCCTTGTGGGTCCCTTCCAACTCAGGATATTGTATGCTTCTATAATTTACCATAAAATTATAATCAAGAATACAGCCCCTACTTAATGAGAAAAGTAGCACCATTACAACTGCGGTGCTGATCCCTGTAAGGATCTTTCTGTTACCTAAATGTCTGTAAAATGATACAGATGAGGAAACACTGCCTTGTGATATATATTTGAATATTAAATCCCAAAAGAAACCCAAACCTGAAACAGATTGGGTTTGATTGGGAAGTCAAAATAACACACTAATTTTTTGTCAATCTTAACTCAAATGCGTAAATAAAACAGAAATGTCACTATAAAGTACAAATTGTGGAATAGATCAGGGCCAAATTCATCATTTTTTAAAAACAGAAAATGCCAGTATAATAATGTTGCTGATACACAGGCAACTGTACCACAGGCAAGATCATTCTGAGATTTTAGTTTAACTTCAGTAGGTTTTGAGGGAATTTGGTATAGTTTAGAAAAGCACTCAAAATTTAATTTACAAAGTTTTTTGTGCTAAAGAAACTACTACTGCTCATTCATCTTTAAAGATAAGGTTTCCTTTAGGCAAAATGATGCTTATTTTCCTACTTAATTTCCTCTCTCTCAGTTAACTGAATTTTGTTCTGATTTGTCTTCCCCCTTCTATCTGCTCAGGTATGTGCAGACTGTGATTAGATTGTTCTTCAGTGTCCACTGATCAGGATGTTCAACAGCGACCTGAACTCTTTGAACTACCAAGATCTTTTTTTCCAGTCTGCAAACATTTCCTGTAGCTTTTCTTAAACATGGACAAACACAGGTACATCAGGCAGCTCAATGGAGGTGATTGTGCTTCTCTGCTCTTTGCTGGTGTGGCCTCACATGAAGTACTCTGTCCACTTTCAGGCACCACAACATAAGAAGGATCTAACGCTTATTAGAGTGTGTTTGAAGTAAGGCCATGAAGTTGATGAAGAGTCTAGAGGAGAAGCTTGTTCAACCTAGAAAAGAGGAGATCGAGGGAGACCTCACCCTGGTCTGCAGCTTCCTCACGAGGGGAAGAGGAAGGGCAGGCAGTGATCTCTTGTCTCTGGTGACCAGTGACAGGACCCGAGGGAATGGGCTCAAGTTGTGTCAGGAAAGGTTTAGGTTGGATATCAGGTAAAGATTCTTCACCCAGAGGGTAGCTGGACTCTGAAAAAGGCTCCCCAAGGAAGTGGCTAAGCCTGACAGAGTTCAAGAAGCATTTGGACAATGTTCTCAGGCACATGGTGTGATTCCTGGGTTGTCCTATGCAGGGCCAGGAGTTGGACTTTGATGATCCTTGAGGGTCCCTTCCAACTCAGCATATTCTGTGATTCTACAATTCTATGATAAAATTCTATGATGGGCTTTCCAGGATTATTCTCTGTAATGTTATGAAATATTACTTTCACAGACATTCATGCCTATATAACCAGCAATTTTATTTGTCAAAATAATTATTATGACTAAGTGTTAACTAAAACAAGACCAACGAGGCCACAGCACCACCTCAGGAACTATACTCAATTGCCTAAGAGAACAACCCTGAGAAGAGCATTTAAAAGTGACATTCACTTTTTTTACAGTAAGCATAGCTTAAAAAACTGTTATCCTATTTACCAGGTGGTAAATTCCCCCAAATCCCAGAATATTCCTCAGAACACAAAATCTGGCACCAAGATATTCCTCTACACACTGGAATGTACTGATTCCAGTATAAACTACTGGTTCATCTAATGCTTCATGCTGAGCTTCAGCAGAGGCGACAGGACTTGGGTAAGACTGAAAAAAACAAGAAAAAAGGGTGGCATGATGACTGGAGGCTGTGGAATGCTTTGCCTGAAGTTACTCATAACTACAGAATGAACTAAACTTGCTTGGTTGTGTAATTAGGAGTGCAGAAAGGAACCACATTAATCAAACAGGCTTGATTAATGTAGAGCTCAGATGAATCACATCTGACTCTAACCCTTCATTTTGAGATGAATTTTCTTTGGAGTCTCAAGAAGAACATTGAAGCACTCTTTGCATCTTTGAGTGTCTTGAAACACAAGAACTACAACAGATGAGTACAAAATAGCAAGTTTTTGACAAGCAATGAAAATGCTTGGTGTCGTACCAACTTAAGAAAGTAACAATGACATGTCAAGCAAGAAGGAGAATGTGTACTGTATAAACGCTAAGATACAACTAAAATTTAGCAACTGGTAACTTTGGTAAAGGTGTGTCTGTCATGTCTGACTTAAGAACCAGTATGTTAACAAAAATTCTGCACAATAACATAGATGTAAGTGGATTACAAATAAAGTTTAGAGAAAAAATCTAAATGGAACAATCAAACACACCAAATTTATATTCAGTATAGTGGTTGGAATGGGATGCAAAGTTTGTTCTATTCTGTTGGCCTCTGAGAGGAGTGATACCTTAGAAGATCAAAAGAATAATTTTAGAGATGCTCATAACTTTTAGAGTTTCTTAGCAAATATGGAAAGCATCATGCAACAGCAGAATCCAGTCATAGACCGACACAGAGTACACTTTCCTGAGTTTTAACCATGAAAATTCTGCCACTATCCATCAGTAAACTTACTTTTCTGAGATAAAATTGAAACAGGCAAAAAGGGATGCAAATTAGAGCTCTTGAATGGGGTCTATTAAGCCGCTTACCCTTGTTCAAGAAGTACCCGCACAACCTCGAGGTGTCCATTCCTGGCACCGAACATCAGGGCTGTCCAGCCATTCCCTGCAGCTGCGTTGACAAGTGATGGGGAACGACTGAGCAGTGCTTTCAGTCTGGTTGCATCTCCCACGGCAGCAGAGTTGTGCAGCTGAGAAATCATGTCCTGGCGGAGGTTCTTAAAGTCTGTCATTGTGTCAACTAAAAATGCCGGAGAATATACTCACTGTTACTAAAAGGATTTAAGTAAAAGAATTACTGCTGTACAGACCACCCATATTATCACAAAAAAATACTGACACAACAGTCAAATTCTTGTCATTAGTGTAAACAGTGTTATTCCAAAACAAATCTCCTAATACAGTGAAATTTACCTCAACAATCAAAATCAGTTCTAAAGAGGCTTAAGGGAAAGGAAAATTTCTCCACGAAAATGAAGCTGCTTTAAAAGTGGAAAACATGTTGTTTCTCGACCGAACACGCACAAATACACACGTAAACACACGCACCCACTGCTGCTGCGACAAGCAGCGACAGCTTCCATTCCCTCAGCGCCCGCTCCACGCCGTTCCCAACGAAACGGACCTGCCACCGCCACCGCCTCCTCCACCCGACCCTGAGTGGCCCCGCGGCCTCCCGGCCCCACAGCGGGGCCCGTTACCGTGAGGCCTCCGCGGGCTCCGACCGCGGCTCCACCGCCCTAGGGCTGCGTCTTGCAGCCGCCCCACCCCGCCGAGCCCGGCGGCGCTGCGGGGAAAGCACCGCCCTGTACGGGGCCGAGTCGTGGGCTGACGCTGGGGCTGAGCTGGGTTTAACGTGAGACAGGGCCTGAGGCGGGAGCGCCCGGGTGTTGCGGCGGCCGCAGGCCTTGGCTGGTGCCGTGTTCCCGCGGGGGAATCGCCAACCGCTCCCTCGGCGTTAAAGGGCAAACAGCCATTTTGTCTGCTGGACAGGGATGTCGTAGGGAAGCGGTCGGGCTGATTTTTTGGCATTGTTTCGTAGCAGGAGAATGTAGGTGGCAGTAGGTTGCGCAAGTCCTTGTGAGAGCAGTGGAGCGAATGAGATATGGCAGGGGAGAGGAGTTAGGAGGGAAATCGAAACGATGTAATGAGCCAGGAGGTAGTTTCATGATCAGTGTGTCCTGTCAACCTTAGAAAAGCATGGGAAAACCAAGGCTATACCAGTCCTATAAAAATGAACATGGGACTGTTGTTCCAGTGCGTTTGCACCTGGAGAGTACTTAAAAAAAACAAAACCAACCAACCAAAGGGTATTTTTTGAAAAGTGAAACTGTCACACTGAACAGCAAAATCCTGCAAAACAAGTTGAAGTTATTCCAGTCAGTTAAGGCTGGAATACAAAGGTTAAGCTAAATCCAGTTCTCCCATCAGTATTACATTCTCAGATTTGCCACTTGAGTTTGTATGAAACATGAAAAACTAACCCATAAAAATAGTTGTTTAATGTTTTATTTAAAAAATATTCACTATTGTTTTCAAATAATGACATGATTGCTCAATACCTTGTTTTTAAATGCAGCTCTCAAAAGGTTTGAGTCCATCAAGTTTGGAGCAGTAGCTCGATATATATATACACACACATATATTAAAAAATATGTATCTCTATATAATACCTATATAACCTATTGCCCAAGGGCAGTGTCATTTTTGAATCATGAGGAGTATTGCAGAAGACTAGTAATGTATAATCAGGAATATATAATAAAGCATTTCTTTTCTTGCTTATGGGAGGGTACATTCTCCGTGTCCTGACATCGTGTTAGCAGTTCCCACCTTGCATGAATTTAAGTACCTTTGGTGGAATTTGCGCTATCTCCCAGTACATCCTTGCAAAAACAACTTAGTACCCCTTGTTTTAAATATCAGCAACTATAATAAATTGAATGGGAATTTTAAAGGATTGTAACATACCAACTAGTGAGTTTGAAAATGTTATTATTTTATTAGTTATTTTGCTGGATAAAATGTTAGAAATTCTTGTGAATATATGGAACTCTATTTAATCACTGAGATGAATTTTCTAAGAGCAATTTAATGTTTCTTTAGAATTAAAATATGCAATTGTAACTTGCTTTAAAAGCTGTTTTTTTCCTTTGGTGTATTCAAGATCTAAGTAAAGCTTACTGAGAAAGCCTGAGTGGTGCTGAACTTGGCTGTGCCATACTTCTTGAATTTTGTAGTAAATAAAGCCTGTACTAGCCAGTATTTATTTGACTTGACTAAGTGTGTTAGCTCTTTAGTAGTGGGAAACATCGTTGAAAGTTGTATTTGTAAGGCTTCAGGAGTCTCGGTGAGGTTGCCAGTGTGAGAATGGAAATGGAAGATGCTCCACTAATTTACTCTGATCCTGAAAGAGGCTCTGGTGGCTCCGTATTGATAGTGACTAATGACAGACTTTTCAAAATGCCTGCTGATTACTGCAGACAACAGTCAGGGAATAATATCTGAATGCCCTGATGCCCTATTCATGTTGTGCTGCAGCCTTTAGAAAAAAATTGCATGTGCTGTAAAGAATGTACCTAAATGCCATTGGGAGCACTGCAGTGTGTAGACATAACAAGAGTTGGAGTGCCTGCAAGAAGCGAGACAACAGTGCTCCTGTCTGGTCCGAGGTACCTTTTAAATCTCTTTATTTGAGTTGATAAACTGTGCTGAGGGAACTATATGAAAAATAACTCTCAGTTATTTAGGTTAATAGATTTATTAAAAATAATAATGTAAAATTAATTATTTTATGTTTATGTTATATAGATTTGTTAGAGAATCTGGATTGATCCCATTTTGGTGTTGGGTTTAGATTACACTCAAGAATAATCTATTTTAATGCTTTTTAGATTCAGTAAACAGTAACAATATCATAGAAGGTTTGCTAGTTCTTCATTTGGGCTTGTACTTCATTCTTACCTCTTAATTTCACCATGTTTTATGAAGGCTCTGTTTTTCAAAGAATTGACATGCTGGGTGAAGTTTAAAAGGCAGCTCTGATTTAAGTTGCTCATGGGAAAGGGAATGAAGCAAGACAGTGGATGTGTGAAAGGAATGTGTTGTCAAATAGTTTATGTACGATGCATTATACTAGATTAGGCTTTTCACACATCTTAGTTTCAAAAAAAAAAAAGTGCATATATGGCTTGTCTTAGGTAGGCAAAGCTGTTAATAGGGCAAGCAGAAATCAATATTATCTAACAAGGTTTCTTGAATTGGCACTGCAGCATTCTGTCATAATATCCTTAGGAGTTTTCAACCAGGGCTTTGGGACAATCTAACTTGTGTTTTTCCCAAGTATTTCCCTGATGAATTTCCAAGCAGTTCTCCTGGAGAAATGATTGGGCAAATGCTAAAAGGCCTGATCTAGATTCCATTGGTATAAATATGAGTCTCTTGGTACTGAAGAAGTGGAACCATTTGGTGGGAGTTTTGACTTTCTTGTTAGGAAAGAGCTGTAGTGAAGCTGTATGATAGTAATTATTATGAAAAAAATAAATCCATTTGCAAGTATTAGTTAATTTCAGTGTAAACCCCCAAAATACTATTAAATGGTTTTAATAGTAATTCTGGACCTCAGCTGTCCATCTAGAAAAGAGGGAAAATAAAAGTTCTTTCAACTCAAAAGGCTTTCAGTCAGCTGAACAGGAAGTCTCTTTCAGCTGTGGATTGTACTGCAATATATGCTGTGCCTGATAAGAAAAAAGGAATGTAGCAACATCAATCTGCTCAGAATGTGTTCCTGAAAAGTGGATGGTTTGTGATATGAAGGTTGGTTAGTGAAGCGTATATTCTCCAAACAATGTGTGGGTGGGAGGTGAGGAGTGCAGAAACTTAATAAATGTGCATGAGTTAATTTTGCAGGGATAGTATGCACAGCATGGAGAAGTGGAAGGCAGAAGCAGGATCATCAGGACTCAGCTCGGGAGGTGTTGGCTTTTCAGCAAGTGGCTTATCAGAAGGGATCACTGCTCTGGAAGGCCCCAGGTGCTTCCTCTGTGAGATTGAATGCTTGACCAGTGCCCTATTTTCCTCTTCTTCACCTTGCTTAACTTGCTTAATCTTGATTCACTGAAGAAGGATGAAGGCAATAAAAATTTAACTGTTCAAGGATTTAGCCCAACGTGTAACCCAAAGAGCCAACATTTACAGTGTAGTAATCTGCTGGAGTCCTCCCAGCCTGATAGACTATATCAAGGCTACATAGATAAGAAGAGTGGGGATGAGTGGTTGGGTAGGGGTAAGATTATAGTATGCGCTTTGTGGCTGATGGAGATTTTTCTAGTTTTCTGCAAATTATTCTTGTGTTTTCAGTTTTCTCCATATTCTAATTTGGTTCCGTTTGTTAAGCACTTGTATTTAACTGATTGCTTATGAATGTGACAGCATGGCTCCCTAAGTTCTAGACAGGTTAATTTAGTTTCTCAAGTTTCTCAGGTGAGGGCTGAGTTGGTGTTTGAATTGTTTAATAAGGTTTGATTGGTAAAAGTGGTTTTAATAATCTGTCAGTGTCTGGCCTACAAATACTTCCTCATGATCAATGAAATCATATTTGCAGCAAATTTGAGTTGAAATAGCTCTTACTCTCCCTATTCTGCAGACTGCTAGCTGAGGCCCAGAGTTAATATTAAAAACATCTAATAATATATTTTTTATTTTTAAACAGAAATTAGCTGATACCTGCTAGTGATTTTCTTTTAAAATTATAATTACCTTCATGCAGCTTGTTTTGAATTCAAAGGATGATTTCCCTTAAATTAAGGGAAAGTTTAAAACTAGGAAGCTAGTTTTACTGCTTTTGAAAAAAAGAGGCTTTTTACATATTCATGGAAAATGGTAGATCCAGTACAGGGATAAATATTGAAATTTCCAAAGCAGGTTTCATAAGAGTGTTCCTTTTCTGGGTTAATTCTTTGCCTTGATAATATCCACTGTCTGACTATGTAATACATGAGGTAGGAAACATGCAAATTTTTTTTAACTTTAAAAAAAAAAGACCTTGTTTCCAGAGCACAGAGGATCTACCTGCACTGTAACAAAAATACTATTGTGAGAAAATAGTATGTGATGATGTCATAGGAGACCTGCTATAATCTATATGGGTTAAAATGGCATTAATTATGACACTTTCTAATTTTGGTGTTTTACTTTGCAATATTCAAGATCTGTTTATGAGGTTTTGGTTTCTTTTAATTTGGTTTTTTGTGTCTATTTGTGAAACTTTTCAAGTTCAGCTTAATCTTTCTTTGGAGGAGTAGAAAAGAAGTAGTTTGCATTTTCAGCAGTAGAAAGAGCCACCAGAAGGATTTTTGCTGACTCTGCTAGTGATGTAAGTGGAGATGATCCTTGAATGGAGTGATAGCAGAAAGAAGGGAAACACGGTGTTGTCACTGAGTGCTCCCTGTAGACAGGGAAGTAGATTGGTTCATTTTTGGGAGAGCAGTCTGCAACAGCAGCTGGATTTGTGAATAAGCACTGTGACTGGAGGGGCCCCTTCTGCTCCAGTAGTTTATGCTGGGATCCCCAAAGTCACTCCAGTTCTCTGGTACCACAGCCCAGGAGCACCCACATCCTCGGTCTGACTCCCATGGCTGGCACCACATTCCATTCACACACACACACACACATGCAAGACCTCCCCAGTACCTGGCACTGAGTCCTTGCAGCACACACATGCACAAGACAGTGAGATTGTGCAGAGCAGAAGGCGAGAGAAGTTTTAATAAGAAGATATAAGAAGGTAAGACAGACTGTGGCCATCAGGAACAGGGCTCAGCCAGACGAGTGTACTGACCTACCTGATTTTACAGGCAACTGGACCCCTTTTTACCCTTTCTGTCTGCTTTGTCTCTGTTCCTTCCTGCTCTGCCTTTCCCTGCTTGCCCCTCCACAGCTTTGTAGATTCCCTCACCCCACACAATTCAGGGCCCCTGAGTTTGCAGACTGACCAGTTGCAAACTGGTGAGTTTTCCTTGGAGTGGCGGCTGTAGATGCTTGGTAGCCCAGCCACTGTTGTGACTGGCAGGGTTTGTTTCTTGTTATTGTCTCCATGTTTGCTTTGTCAGGTGTGTGTCTTAGTATATTTTGCTTCCTGGCTTACCACTGTTCCCTTGGCTTGCCAGTCAAGTTCCAAATCAAGATAATCTTACTGAAATAAACATTCCTGCACTTTCACATGCCCGCATAAGTTAGTGTGGCTGACCAGGTTTGGTTCTCATCACTGCCTCCCTTATCATTTGGTGATCGAGTTTGTGGCCCTGTATGTTCTTGTGTATGGCTCACCCCACAGAAAATGGTTCTTTACCAAATACCCTTAAAAATACTGACATTCATTTCCACATACCCTTACTGTAGCCGTCATGGAACATTTTGTATCTGCCAGCTTAAACTCTTTGTCCTTCTCTTGGATCTGCTTGTGTCTGCAGTGTTGATTCCCACCACAAATTTCTTGCTCATTATACTGCTTTCCTCTTTCTCACTATTGTTCATCTTACCCAGCTTTTTCCATAATTTTGTCCCACCCAATCACTGTTAAGCCTTCAATGTAGTTACTTAAATTGCTACATCCTGCCTGTTGACATCCAGTTGTCATTTTCTATTCTTTTATTTTTCTCAGATAGTTTGTCTTGTTTTCAGGCTGGTACTTGCTCAGTTTGTTTAATCCAAGATCTCTATCACATCTTTGGTAGTGATTAAAACATATCTAATGGTGTTAATGAATGCAAGAACTCTTCTTCAGACCTGCTTTCAATAATTTGCAGAATATGTTAGTGGTAGCATTGGTAGTTATTAACAATGACTTTTTCTAACAAAGGGTTTTAAAAAAACCCCATTTTTTTCTTTCAACATTATTAACTTCTAGCATTTGCAGCATTCTCTAGCAAGGACCTCCGCAGCTTAACTTCAAATAGTTTGGAAAAAAGCACTTTTTTCTTGTGGTGGTGTTTTTGCTTTGGACCTGCCATCTAGTATTCTGTTCTGATTCTTACCATGTTGGAAGAGCATGAACAGTCATTTCTCATTTATCTATTTCATGTCATTCATAGTACAACTCTGTCACATTCTCCTCTGTCTTTTCTCCAAAAGAAACAGTTGAACCTAGGTGTTACCATCACTGTATGACTGCTGATTCTACTCTTTTCTTAACAGGTGTAATTTATATACCCATACTGTTTTAACATTGCCCATGTCCTTGTTCTGTCAACCCAGTCCCTAGCATAGTGGCTAGAAGAAAGAACTTCCCTAAAAAGTATGTGGTAGGTTGGCTTTGACTGGACACCAAGTGCCCACCAAAGTCACTTTGTCCCTCCCCTCCTCATCTGGACAGGGGAGAGAAAATATAATGAAATGCATATGCGGTGAGATAAAGATAGGGACAGATCACTCTCCAGTTACTGTCATGGGTAAAACAGACTTGACTTGGAGAAATTGGCTTCATTCATAACCAATCAAACCAGAGTAGGATAATGAGGTAAAGCCAAATCTTAAAAATAACTCCCCCACCTTCTTCCTGGGTAACTTTATTCCTGATTTTTTACTTCCTCTGCCTAGCAGTGCAGTAGGACAGGAATGAGGGTTATGGTCTCTGCTGATGCATCTTCCTCAGGGGAGGGACTCTTTCCCGTGCTTTAGTGTAGGCGAACACCAGGACTATGAGGCTTGGAAAGAGCAGCTTTAGACACAGGTCCGCTGCAGCGGCAGCTTCCGGGATCGAGCAAAGCAGAAAAACAACAGCTACTTGCATTATTTATTGTACGGGTTCCCCCCCTGAGCTGTGTATTTTTCCCGACCCATGTGGCCCCCCCACTCTGAGCCACGTTGTCTCCCCTCCCCAATCACGGACTCCTCCCCTGCACAAGCAGGAGAGGCTGTCTCACCCACGTCTCTCCAAGTCCCTGTTTCTGTTACTGGAATGCGGTCCTCCTGTATCTCCCATTGGTCAGTGGGGCTCTCAAGCCACTCCCTTCCCCCCGTACCTTGACCCAATCACAACCCTTCTTCTTGCCCTCCCCCCGAGCCCATATAAACCACGGGAGTTTTGGATTAGAGGTCTTTTTGCCACGGAACACCGAGTGGAACTGGTTCACTCTCTCCTCCTGCCTAAGGGGGACTACATGACTGATTTCCTCTCCGGGAAACCCAGTGGAGAGTCTGCACTCAGATCCGTTACTTTAATTTGGGGTCTCTCCCATGGGAGACCTCCTCGTACTTCTCCAATATGGGTCTTTCCCACAGGCTGCAGTTCTTCATGAACTGCTCCAACATGGGTCCCTTCCATGGGCTGCAGTCCTTCAGGAATGTGCACTGCTCCTGCCTGGGTCTCCCAAGGGGTCAAAGTGCTGCCAACAAACCTACTCCAGTGTGGGCTTCTGTCTTCATGGGGCCACAGGTCCTGACAGGAGCCTGCTCCAGCACAGACTTCCCACAAGGTCACAGATTCCTTCAGGCATCCACCTGCTTAGACGTAGGATCCTCCTAGGGTGCAGGTGGATCTCTGCTCCACTATGGACCTCCATGGGCTGTAGGGGCACAGCTGCCTCACTAGGAACTGCAGGGGAATCTCTGCTCGGGAACCTGGAGCACCTCCTCTCCCTCCTTCTTCACTGACCTTGGTGTTCTACAGAACTGCTTCTTTCACATACTCCTCTCTCTGGCTGCAATTGCTGTTGTGCAGTAACTTTTTTACCTTCCTGAATCTGTTGTCCCAGATGCACCACTACCATCGCTGATGGGCTTGGCCTTGGTCGGTGATGGGTCTGTCCTGGAGCCGGCTGGTACTGCCTTTCTTGGACAGTTTCTGGCAGCTTCTCACAGATGTTGCTCCTGTAGCCCCCCCACTACTAAAACCTTGCCATGGAAATCAAATAGAACAGAAAGAAGTCCTCAATTTGATTCTTGAAATCTGCCGCAAAAGTTTATCAGTGCTTTTTATCCCACTGTCCTTTTTGTAACATCTTTTTTTGTTTCAAAAATTTTAGTGATGATCTTTTTCGTGGAATTCAGCCTTTAAGACCAGTCACTGGAAAGGAAGATTTTCCTTCCAACTCAGTATTCTTAGGAGCAGTATAAGCCAACCATGGGGATAGCATGGCTTGCCTACTACTCCTACTACAAATTTAGTAGTAGATTTAGGGCCGTGTTATATGTTTAAATATATAAGCATATAATTAAATAAATTACTACACCCCCCCCACATATACATATATACATATATAAACTTACAAAACTAAAGTACATACATGTACCAAGTTTGAAATTCAGAAATAAAATTATTCTTCAGTTTGTCTGCATTTTTATCCATGTAGAAACCTAGACTAGTACCAAACACAGTTGCAAAGGAAACATAACAGTCTCTGTTTCATTGAATAATGGTCCTCTCAGATTAAATACCTAGCATTCTTTTGCTACTGTAGAGTTGCAGACCTTACTTAAATAATAAAGTCCCACGACATTTTAGTAGGTCTACTTTCTAAAGAGTAGTAGAACCTATTTCTTTAATATGTCATGAATTTCCTTGCTAGTTTTGTTGGCTTAAAAAATAAACATGATTTTAATAAATTTGTGATTAGTTGATTTACTCTTTATTTTTATTCTGTGAAAACCTCTTATCGGTGGAGAGGCACAGACAGATTACTCACAGACCAGTATGATTGGCAAAATGTCGGCTTTATTAGAAGAAAGACACTTTATATACTGTATATTACGCTCAGATGCGTGATTCTTCTTCACACAGCATTGGATACGTAAGGAAAACATACTTTGTTGTCCACTGCTAATTGGACCACAACAGGTGTCCATATGAGCTGAGGGCACACGTTCACCCTCCTGAAACTCCACCTTAAATTTGGCAGGGAGCCTCCTTTGTCCTAACTTCAACGCCTGTAGCCATATTTGCTACGTAGTTGCTTTTTACTGTCTGCACCCAGCCACGCCAAGGCAAGGCTCACAGAGATGCAATAGAAGTTGTTCACGCACAATCTCTATTCTCCCAACAACCTCTTAAGAAACACATACAGGATCCTAAGCAAACACTTCCAAAGCAGCAGACAGAAAATCTTGATTCTTTATTGTGGTTATTCTGTGTGTTTAGAAAAGCATGAGAATAAGGCAATTATACATCTATTGCCAGCAGAAACTGAAACAGTGAGTGTGTTTAAAATAGTTAAAAAAATCAATGTTGATTATATCTCTTTCTTATAGGCTAAGTGAAATTAGCTGTACAAAATTCGTGTTTTAAAGCTATTGAGCAAGAAACAAAATTAACATCAACAGCAGGTGGCAGTGCTAGCAAGAGCAGTGGTTCTGATATGAGTTGTTGGCTCGTGGTTTGTGTAGTTTCAGCTCTTCCGCAAAAGGTGAGTTAAAATCAGCGATGGCTTGTGATTATGGGGTGCATAATAATGAGATATTGGTCAAATTGAAACAAGAGGTTTCTCCTGCTGAAAATGTGAAGTGGAAGGTTTTGTGAAGTTATTTTCATAAGGAGGGTTGTATTTTGTTATATAAAATAGCAAGCTTATTCTGTGCTTCATTTTAGATGGAATTGTAAATGATTGTATAAAGTTTGTATAAGAATAAATACAGAAAAAGAACAAAAGTAAAAGCTGATAAAGTAAGTATGATTATAAAATTTCAGATGTCATAGTCCCTGGTAGTTCTGGTACCATTGTCACAGATTTGTTATATCTTTGCTAATGCAAAGCTCTTTGTCAAAGATCATGAATCTGTTGATGTTTTAGAGGGCATTTAAAAAAGCATTACTGATGCAGTTTTTATTAAAGACCATATTTTGGCATCTTCTCATATTGTCATGCTAAAATACATTTATGCATTTCATTACAGAACAAATTGCTAAGCTTATCAATTTTTTACTTAATTGACCTTAGTGCAATTTACTGCTATTTATGACAGCTTAAACTTCTGCCGAGGTTTAGCATCTTGTAAGGAGATAACATAGAGATGACATTGCTGAGATTCAGTGTGCTTGTGTTTCTTCTGTTGGTTAAGAAAAGGTTTTAAGCCTAAAAATCATTCCAGCAGTACAGAGTGCCAGGATCCTGTGTGCAGAGAGGACAAGACCAGCTCCCACTGATAACTGACCCCTGGAATACCCCTTAGGCGTTGTTGTGAGGTTCAGGTAGAAGCCTGCTGTATGTTGGTGAAGTTCACCCACTGTGCTTCTTAGAAGAGAAAATTAGTGAAATTGGTAAAAAAATCAAAGGTAAGATGAAAGGAGCTTAAAATGTTATCTTCAGAAGTCACAGGACATTTTGTGGCACCGGTGAAGTCTGTGTATGTTAACAAGCCTTTTTGAGTGTAGTATCATTGTAAGGAGAATTAAACCATGTTGTTTCTGGTATGTCTAATCATGACTTCCCAACCCTCTCAACTCTGTGGACCACTGTCTGCCTTAATTACGCCTTATCTAGTAAGATGAAGAGGGTTGAAGAAGTTCAGAAGAAAGATGTAATACAAGAGCATCGTGTCTAAAAGTGGTCTTCCAACGTTATCATAAGGTGTCAGCTGATCCTTAATATTCTGCTTTCAATTCATATTGTCAAAGTTTTCAGTAGATGGCAGATTAATATGGTTAACCAGAAGTTTAAGGGGCTCTAATGGTTACATCATTTAGAGAAGAATTAAAAAGATGTTAATGAAGTGTCTTACAGATGGTCAGGTTTTCACTAAAACTTTACCCACAGAAATCTAGGACTTTATCAACTCTGGCCTTTAGTAATCTATGTATTAAAGCACAGCTCTTTTCAAATCACTGTAATGAATTATTTCTGCTCATTTAAAACAGGGCTGCTTTCTTTGGATTTTTTGTATCGAATTTGCATTGCAGGTAGAGCATCTTTTGCATATAATTAAATCTATATTTGTTGTCTGCTCACTGAGTTGAAACTGAGTTTAAAAGGCAGAAATACAAGTTAAAAGCGTACAAATCTGTTACTTTTTTTTTTAAGAGATAGAGATACTCTTTTCACACATGAAATATAGCAAGTGAGAAAGCAGGGTATGCTGTGTTTTGATTCAGGCTATTTCAGTTGTTTTAACTAAATATCTGAAAAAATTATTTTGGCTTTAAGGAATTTCAGAGTTTCCACAGAAATACTAAACTTGCTTTTACCCATTTCTGTAGTGGTGTTTTTGACCAGGCAAAGAGTGTGCCTGTATGGCCTGCTAGGTATCCTCGAGCTTTTAAAATAGCTTTAGCAAACTTTTATTTGCAGCATCAAAACCCACTTGAGAGCTAGATTAAACTGCCTGGTTATGAGCATGGCTCCAGTTAGACTGCTGGTGCCTGAACTGGTTTATGTAGAACTGGCGATGTAACCTACCAGTGAGATAGCACTATGCTATTCATGTTGCACTGTGCATTTGAAGTGATGTTTGGCATCTATGAAAGATTTGAATGTTAGTACTTATTTATGTCAAAGGAATCCCAGCAACAAATAGTGTATATGAATCACTGAAGAAAAAAAAAAGGTTAATCGTGTGATTTTGTCTGAGTGCAGACAAATTAGGGGAGGTGTTACAGACATGAGTAAGACAAGTCAGGGGAGGTGTTACAAACATGAGTAATTGTTCACCATTGCAAACCAGCAGCACGGACTGAAAGCCTCGGTCACTAGATGGTTCTCATGAGACACGAGAGAGTACAAGCCAGCAGATCACTCAGATTTCTGAAAAGCTTAAAGCAAACAAAAATACCATCTCCCAGAGAAAAGGATTTTGTGTTTAAACAAATAAACTTTTCACTGTATGTGCTAGTTCAATTTTATGACACAACATGATTGTTTGCAATACAGAAGCTAGGAAGTTTGTATTTGTCTGGTTTTGTGTATGTGTAAGGTAGTGACACCAAGAGCACTTGTGTATGCGCAATACAGAAAACCTAGTGCTTTTCTCATGCTACAAAGCAAGCAAAATATGCTGAAAGAGAGCAAAACAATTTGTGTGGTTTTTGTCTCTCTATATACACATATGTATGATATGCATTTGCTCTGGGTATATGTATTAGTTCTAAATAGGTCTAAATTTGTCATCTAATTTTAAAATCACTGTCTCAAACATGTACAGAATCTGTGCAGTACCTGATCTTGAGTGTGATCTTTCTTTGCAAATATAAAATTATGTTGTTTTTGAAATGTTAGTTCAGATGATTTGTTTAATTGAAATCTCACACAAAACAGCACTTGCCAGGGAAAGCTCTTCCTTATCATTACTATGGAGAGTCCAAAGATGGAGAAGAAAATTGTCAGGATAAAGCCAAGTTAAAGTACCCTGTGAATATTCACATAATCTCACGTTAGGCTTAAAAACCATGAAGATATTTAAGTTAGATATTTGCATTGATTACAAGAAAACTATGGAAGAAGTTCCAAAGGAGGTGAGGCATTTGGTAAAAAAAACCAAACCCAAACAACCCCCAAAAAACCACCATAAACATTCATTACTAAATGTTTACAAAACATGTTTATTTTACAGCAGAAAAGGCACTTAGATGAATAATAGTCATGGGAACTAGAAAGCTAGATATGAAAGGATAAAAGTTTTGCTCATCAGTCTTAAGAGCTTTTATACTAAATTTTTCTGTTGTATACAAGTTTAGACCCATATAACACCCATAAGAGAGGAGATACTGTAGCTTATCTTTAGGACCATAATATGTACAATTGAAAATGATAATTTTCAGGAACATAAAGTGATTATGCTGTAATATTGAAACAATAGCTGTAACAGTATTAATACATGTAATGTTTGCTAAAATATTTTTTGAACCATATGCTATGAGGCCAGTTAATTCTGTCCTTGTTACAAAATCTTGCTCATTTTTGTTTAACAGTAGTCAATGTAGCATGTCTGTTTAACAGTGACCTATCTGTAAATTAGCAAGGACTTGTAAGAAAAAATGTTACTTGTAGAAGCCCAGGATCAGGCCCCTTTCAGTAAACTCTATGTAAAGTGCTTGTGTCAGTATACATTAGTTTTACTGGTTATTCATTTGAACTATTATAAAGACAATGTTGTAACCAATTATTATGGGAAAACAGATTTATTAAAAACAAAGAACGGAGTTCATTCTATTTTTGGAAACAGTTCAAGTGCTGAATGCTGTCGAATGAAGTACATTCATAGAAACAACTGCATGCAATTCTGTCTGAAAAACTGGTAATAGCATAAAGAAGACACCCTTGTTTTGTCAAAGTCAGCAAAATCTTTTTTTACTGGAGAAGTGCCACGTGTACATCTATCTGTCAACTCATTTTAAGTACACAGACCTCTAAAACTAGGCCTTTATGTCCTGTTAGTATAATTTAAAAGCATAGCATGGCTACTTACAGCCTTTAGTAGGGGTTAGTCAGATACTAACTTCTCTTTGGTTGGTGTGATGGTTTGCAGAAATTACAAGAACTCTACCATCTCAGAGAATATTGGTCTGACACAGGCACAGTGCAGAGCAGCTGCAAGCTTTTCCATGTATATCCCGTGTAGGTATCCCTTAACCTTCTGTAAGACATCTACCAGTCCCTGTGTCTTAGGGTAAGGATGTGTTTGCTCTGAAAACTTTCATCTATTTAGGATCATTAGTTTGAATTTTGCTTTCATTGCTTCTGTCTCATCCAAAATCTTGAATTTGCTTACAAATCCTTTTTAAGGTATACTCATGGTTTTCTTGTTTGTTTGGGCGTTTTTGTTTGGTTTTGGTTTTGAATTTTTGTTTGGTTTTTATGTTGGTTTGTTTTATTTGTTTGTGTTTCTCCTTCGTATGGTTAAGAGTAGTCCTTGGCTGGTGAGTTTTGATCCTTTTTTGCTTCTCTTTTGTATATCCAGACTTCCTCATTGTCATTACTTTGTATTCTAGTTACATCAGGAAATCCAGACAAAGTCATGTTCAGTATTGTGCAAACTACGTTAGAATTGTGCTAGGCTAAGGGATATTGCAGTGTGACTGCAGAAGATGGATAGGGCTTTGAGATTCCAGGTGTCTAAGACAGGTGTTTATTGATTATGGGTATCTTTTTAATTTAGAGATGCCACAAGTGACCTTGATTACAACAGAATTCTCATGAAACCACATACTCCCTGCGCAGTAATATCATTGTGACAATCTATTTAAAATTCATATCAATGTGTTGAGCTGCTATGTGGCGTGAAATAAAAGATGAAATCCCTGAGAAAACAGGGTAGAATGCATTTAATAAAAGGTTTGTCTTGCACAGACAGTAAAACCAAGAAAGGGTTTGAATAGCGAAAAATATGTTTTCGTTTGTTTGGTTGGGTTGGTTTGGTTTTTGGTGGGTTTTTTTGGTTTTGTTTTTTTTGCCAGTAGAGGGTGCACAATGCATAGGAATAGGAAAAAGCTGAGCAGAATCCTTTGCTACTTGCACCAGAGCCCAGAAAAACATGTCTGAGGAACCTTCTATGTTTAGAATTTCAGGAAGCATTCAAGAGTTCCCAGACCATTTCTCTGAGTGTCTGAGTCTGCAGGTGTCTGTGCTCAGGATGGATTTAATGATATCTTTCTTTACCCAAGTCATCTAAAATACAAATCGTCACTGTTTATTTTTGTAAAACAGTGATGAAGAGTTTTAAGATATGCTTAAAACTCTTCTTTAAGAGCACTAGAAGAAAAGAAGAATTTAATTTACTATTATAGTTTTAAGTATTATTGCCTTTTGTGTTCTGAACTCTACTTACATGAAATACAACTAATCCCTGAATGGAGTTTACCTGTAAAGCTTCCATAAGAATCTTACTTTTACCTACTTATTGGAACTCAGGTGTTGCATATCTGTAGGGAGCATTGGTAGAATGAAAAATTTAAGTGCAATAGCAGCTGATACATTGGTTTATGGACCATAAAATGCTCTTTTCTTTTTTTTTAATTACCGAGTAATTTGAATTATTGAGTGTAGTTGTTTTGATCTCTTGGATTTGATCCTGATTCCTGCGTTGTGTCGAAGTACATGTTATGTGGTTTTGCTCTTTCAATGGTGTTGCTTTTCTGAATTTAATTTGGGTTCCAGAAACACATTAATAAGACATTAGGACCAAAGTAATCTAAAATATTAACAGATTTTTTTTTTGTCTTTACACTGGTTGATGTAAGGCACTCCAGGCACCCTTTAATAGTTGATTTTCCACTTTTCAACTAATTAAAGAGTCTCTGGTGGCAGCAGGAGATATGCTGAGAACCAGCTGGAAGATATGTGAAATGTATGGCTACATGGAGTGCTCATTTTCTTCTGGTATTCTTCAGAGACCAATATCTTTGGTCTGGGGACATCAGCTGTAGAGGATCTCATATGTCATAACAATAGTATCAGGGCTGGTAGCAATAACTAGCTGGGGACTGAGATAGTCTCTGTGCACTCTGTTCTTCAGTGTTGTCAGGAAGGATAATGGTGAGGGAACTGTGGTCAGATGGGTTGTGCACACACAAGTTATATTTGTATCTTCCGCTTTGCTGTCTCGGTCCAAGGGCAGGTCTACTTTCTCCCTGTGTCTTGGCACCTTTGTTTTCCTGGAGCCAGCTATCAGGGCTGCCTTCTGGCAGTGCCTTTTGTAAAAAGAAGGAAGCACAGTTAAAACAAAAGTAAAAAAAAAAGAGTACTCTGACTAAACTGTGTTATACAGTTTGATTATTTCAGTAAAGGTAAAGGTTATTCCTTTCCCTCCCACTCCATCTTCTATGTAGTCAAACTCCAGACCATCCAGTACTATTAATATCTCTGCTGTTAAACTTCACAGAGATCCCTGAGCAGCAGAGAAGAGTTAAGTGGTCATGGAATTGGTCCACATCCTTACCACTTTGCTTAAAGGCTTACTGTACCTAACACATCTTTATGCAGTGTGTAAATTCTGAGCTAAAGCACTTCTTCTAGGGCTAAAAGAGCAATTAATTTTCGTAAAGCACTGGTTCTGCAACCATTCTTTGGAGACTGCCAGCTCCTGTTAACCAATGCCACATGTAGTGGGTTTCTTGATATTGAATAGATCTCTGAGCACACCGCATTTGTTTCATGTAAAACTTTAGGACATAATTGCATGTGGCTTTCATCACTATCATCTTATGATGCATTTTAATTTGTCTTATGAAGTTGAAAGGCTCTGTTTGCCCTTACCAATAATCTTGAATCATTCAGGCCACTTGGTTTAGGTTGTTTGAAATACTTTATAAGCAGCTGCAGGTACCAACCACATCTCTGGAAGAAAAAAAATTCAAAACAATATTAAGTCCGTTAAAGACTGTTAATGATATGCACCATTTTATCATGAGAATAAAGCAAAGGGAAGGAATAGAGACAGGGAAGATGAAAGCAGGAGACACGTTTTCAGAATGTTAGAAAAAAATGATTGAAGAACTTTCAAGAAAATTCTTCACTGCCGTGCTTCCCATCCTGTTTGGAGGGTGGAGGGAGAAAGTATTTCTTGTTCCCTTTTGAAAAGAGGCAGAGGTTGCCCTTTTGCAGATTTTCTGCCTTTTTTTTTTAATGTCAAGATTTGTATTAAAGTGTTTTTGGAGTCACAAAGTAGCAGGAAAATAGAGAAAAAGCTGCCAAAAATATCATTTAGGAGAAAGGAGAGGGGGAAGCAAATGCAGTAATACCCTTTTTACCTATATACATGTACACTTATTTTTTCCCCATTCCATCTTTCTTCTACTCACACCTGTTTCACACTGTTTGTCTTTTGCTTAGTTCTGCCATGATGATTCATGATCACCCTGCATGCTGTTTTTCAGGATCTTAGTACGTGGCTCACACACTGACAGCACTTTGGAAAACTGTCCATGAAACTGAGTCAGACATCAGAATTAGAGAGGTCATTCTTCTGATGGTAGTGTTGTGTGGCTGTTGGAGCTGAAAGGGTTTGGGGGAGAGTCCTTCTTTCAGGGAATGAACTGTGCTGTGATTATGGAACTGATTAAGCTTCAGTGACCTCTCAACTGTCTTTCTAGGGAGCCATGGTCTGGCATTCCTGAATAGTGTGAGGTCTAAATAGCATACAATTCTCAAAACCTGAAAGGCCATAGTAACTACAATATCTAAATTAAATGTGGTAAGCCATACAAATGTGTACCATCTATTTTATGCAGTTTCTCCATATGCTTCCAAATCAGAGAGTTAAGAAAGCATCTGAAGACAATGAAAGGAGGAGTCCATGTGGCTTCATGTGGTTCATCAACACCGAGAGGCTGTTCTTTGTTGGAGTAGTTCAAAATGCAGCATGAGTAAAGGTGTCATACACTTTTTTCCCATGTGCTTTGCCTCTCAGGAAGCATAGCACATAGTTTAGCCAAAGGCTTCAGTTTGTACCAAATGTATAACCTGTACTTTTCCCCTCTTCTCCCCTCTTTGTAAGAAAAGATTAAATGTTTCAGGTTTGGGTCCAATCTAGGCATGGAACAAAATTGAAAGTACTTTTAAACCAGACTTGAGGCCTTCAGGGTAGTCTGTAATTTAAAATGACTAATGCTTGCTTTGCAACTGCAGTGGTGCTGCAAAGTGTTTGCAGGATGACCGAGAATTATAAACTGTGATTCTGGATTTATAAGAAATGTCATATTTTTGATACATTGCTAGTAGTTTGGCAGGCAGTTCTTTCCCTGAATGGGAATGGGATAGCTTTTTGACCATATTTCTTGAGATGTGTTGGGTTTTTACTTCATGTAGATCAGGATGTTTCAAGAATGTCATCTGTTGCACTCCTGTATTTTCTATAGTTGATTCTATAATTAGCTGTGTCAAACGTATGCTTAGTGAACCTGGTTTTTTTAAGTGCTAGCTAGAAGGATGTGGCTTATTATGTCTTTTATAAGCATAGAGATACTGCCATGTGCTTCAATTTAAGTGAACATTTGCAAGTTCATAGTGTAACTGTTAAATTACTGTTAAATTACTGGTGCGATAGTTGCACTAAGGGGTCCCAAAATGTAATACTAACAAATGCTATGGCTAAATCATTTTGCTAATGTGAAAAGGACATTTGGCCAAGCAGGTACAGTCTATATTAATTCCAAATTTTCATTTTTTTAAGTCTATGCCTTCTGGAGAGAACCACATGTGTTTCTTGACCCCTTCTACATAAACATATGTGTTCTCTGAAGTCATTTAATGTCTGATTCTGTAAGATCCCAAATAATCTGCAACTAGATAATAGAAACTGCAGAGCACATGGTAGAAAAAGACCCAAAATATTATTCTGTTGAGACCTTTTAGTCAGCTATTGCATTTCACATCAGAGGATAAGATATTTTGCTGGTGGCTGAAATGAAATCTATATGACCTTTGTCAAATTATTGCAATGTTGTTAGAATTAATTAGCTAACAGTTTTTAACTTTTTGAGATCCTTAGGTTAGATGCTCTAGAAGTGAAATAAATGCTTTATGCTTGTGAGAAATTTTGGTCATGGTGAATTAATAAAAGATTGTGGTGAATCATTATGTAGAAAATCTATAAAATTAATGATAAGTAGAGGAATCAACAGGTATAATATAACATAATAACCTAACATTACTATGAAGATGTAGTATTTTAGGTCCTTGACATGTCAACACAGTTTAAAAGTTTACATGGGGGAAAAAAAATATATCCTTTTTTTGCTGAAGACAGCTGTTATCCATCTTATTTGAAAATGAGAATATTGCAAAATTTATTAAAACTGGATCATTCCTATGACTGCTGGTATTATTTTTATTAAGAATGCATATGGCCAGAGCATTGCCTTATGATTAATGAGAAGAGGCAGATTAATATTTTTGACTTGTAGCTGCCTTCACTAAACCTGATTTTGCATTAAAATACCCATTGCCAACTTGTTACAGGACAATTTAATGTAGTACTATTATAAACGAGTTAAATGAGCACTGTGTTAGAAGTGGAACCTGTAACAGAGCCAATCATTCCTCCTGCCTAGTCTATCATGCTTTTCAGAGGCAGACTGCCTATTGCAGGCAGAGTCTTCATAGCCTCACTGAAAATATTAATTAAAGTCTCGTCTCTAGTGTGAGATTGGAGTTAGACTTATGAGAACAGGCTTTATTGTTCAGACTTGCCTCCAGAAAGAAAAGGTACTCATAACCATTCATCTTTTCTCTTTCCAGAAGAAAAACCTGTAAAGTTCCCATGCTGTGACTGTGACACTCATTCTTTACACCTCACCTCCTAATTCTCTGACACAGAGATTGACTGGAACACATTCCCAGCACAGCTCTACAATATGTCTCTGGCTTTCAACTCTCTCTGAAGAGAATGGTACCAGGTTACTGCACTGGCAGCCAGGTCTGTATGTCTTAGAGAGAAATCCAGGCTCAGAGAAGGTTGACTGAAGGTATGTTTCCAAGGCACCAGGATGGCAGGATGGTTGTATCCATCAGTTGCCCTGTCTAACCTGAAGGCATACCCATCATATAAGTACACATATATACACATATGTCTTGTGGTTGTGAAAAACCACATGCCTTTCCTGCAGCTTTGCAGATTGCATTCTTGTACATCAGTATTCAGGTAAGTTGGAAAGCTTTCGCAAGCAGGAAGTGGAACTCAAAAAGAGAGTAAGTCAATCTCTTGAATGGCTTTAAAGCATACTTTGTTTTTTAGGAGTTTTTTATTCTTTGGAACAAAAAGTGTGCTGAATTGTTGTCAGGCATAAATGGGTATAATTTGTGAGTACAAAGAAATGCAAGCAAGTTTGTTGACTCATTGCCGTAGTGAGACAAATAATAATTTTAATTAGATTGTAATGAAAATTGTTGTGTCATGTTCCTCCCCCCCTCCCCTAGTGAATTCATTATCTGATTAGTCAAAAGGGATAAATAATTCCTTTACATTTGCATTCCTTTTTGTCAAGCAGTATGGATTTTTCCTTCATATATACAAAGAAGTGAAACTGGCTAATAATAAAATCATTGAGTATCCTTAACTATAAAAAAACCCTTTTAAATCCAGAACTAGAGGAGGGTTCTGCACACAAAGCAATCTGCACACAAAACAATTCTGAATTTCCTATTGGAGTAACAGAAATGAGGTGGTCCAAACACATCTCATTGGTTCCTTCCCATTTCTGATGGCCTTGAAGCAGGCTTATGCTCTTTGATACTGGTTCTCCTATGCTTATTTTTGTCTATAGAGGCCTTTTTCTATCCAGGAGAAGGAAGTGGTGTGTATTTGCTTCTATATACACACACCCATTCCATCTTGCAGGGTGGGTGATGTGGCAGTATCCCATGAGAGCAAAGGCGGGATTCAGAAGATCTGTACAAGAACGTTTTTTATACATTCTAGAATGCATTTGACCTGATACTTTATATTTAAGTATTTAATCTACAGAGAATTTTATGTCTGTAAGCTTTGTCTCCTCCCTTTCTGAAGAGAGGTCTAGAAGAAAAACTGGAAATTGAAAAGGAAATCGGTTGCCCCATTCTCACTGGTCCTTTCATAAGCCCTATGTACGCTTTTTTATTATTTTTTATTATTATGTATTGGCCAAGTGTTTAAGCACATCTTTAGTCCAAGCCAATTTGGCGGGTGTTGATACAAGGCCACCCCAAAGCAAGTAATCTCTAATTTGTAGTAAAGCTGGGTTGTGACTGATGGTTTTAAATACAGTGAAGATCTTGGAGGAGGCAAAACACTTGACTTGATGTTCAGCTTGAGAAGACTTGCTTATGGCTTGAACTAAGGTCAAGAAGAAGCAGCAGATGTTGGAGGGGCTATTACCATTATAATAGAATCATTCAGGCAATCCTATTTAATTTGATTTATTTTGTTTTCTGTTATACTCTCAGATACCTTTCAGACGTATGATTCTTTTTGTTTGGAGTCTAATCCGTACTTCATTAAATCTAATCCACTTATATTTGAATAGTACTGGACATTTTCTGCATTAATATATGTCATTGGGATGTAAGAAACTTCAAAAAACTCTCGTCATCAAGCACAGACCTTTGTTACACAGCTCAGCACATCTTAGAATCCTGTTCATCAGCTTATCCAACTGTAATTTAAAACCAAACTTATTTGTTCTCCTGCATCTATAGGGTCTAAATTTGACTCTTCTGAAGGTCAGAGGGTATGAACTGGAGAATCTGTCCTTTTACCTGATGTTAAACTAGTGCGAAACATAACATCACTCTTAGAATATATATGTTTCCACAGATAGAAAAATAAGATTTGCTTAAGAATTGTTATAATTAATTTGGAAAATTTGCTGTTTTCTGAACCTCTGGGATTCTGTATATGATACTTTTTTCTAAGATGGAGGCAACAGTGGCTTTTTCTTTCCCTCTGCTGACTTCTGATTCACCTATATACCTTCCCTCATAGCAATTTAAAGCACTGCCAACAAAAGATGCTTTACCATGTGTTGAATCTCTCAAGTTTCTCCGCAGGTGTCTGCTGAAGATGAAGCAGGTCTTGAACAAATGTGTCTCGGGGACTGTTGGTTAGCTAATTTTTCATCTGAGTTTCCAACTGCACCAGCAACCTGAGTAAGGAAAAAAAGAAGGATATTTTTAAGACAAATTCTCACTGAAGTAGAATAAGCAATGCAGGGTTTGCTATTTGTTTTTTGAGATAAATTTAACCACTTACCTTTGCCTGTTGCTTTGTTTTCTCTGTGTAAGTCACCAGCAGTGCAAAATTTGACTGAAAATACAGGCAGAGATCTTTTAAGCACATTTTCCTTGTACTTCCTAGAAATTTATGCTGACTGCTATTTCTGCCATAGGGAATTTCTAATTTTGAAGCAGTCTTGGGGCAAAAGTGATTCATAATGAGTTGGCAGTGTCTAATAAACTTATAAGTAGTCATGTATCATTATGAGATAATAAAGTAATGAAATAATGTGTTTCCAATGCTGCCAATAAGAAGCTGCACTAGAAGCCAGGAGGGAGCATGGCCAGGGCAGGTGATCTGAACTGGCCGAAGTGGTATGCCATTCTATAGAACATCATGCTCAGTACATAAAGTAGAAGTCCTGATTGCTGTGCAGGGACAGGCTGGGAATCAGTTGACAGGTGGTGAGCAGTTGTATTGTGCATAAATTTGGTTTCTTGGATTTTAATCCCATTATTATTATTACTATTATTGTTATTATTATTATTATTAATTATCATTATATTATGTTCTTAATTTTTTCTTTTATTTCAGTTATTAATCTGTTCTTATGTCAATCCACTGGTTTTATCTTTTTCTAATTCTCCTTGCTATCCAGAGTTAGTTGGTGGTGGGAAGGGAAATGGGCAAGTGGTTGCATGGTAATTAGTTGTCCACTAGGGTTTAACCACTGCACCTACTAATGCCTCCAGGTGAGGCTCTTTTTCAGTATTATTAAATCAATATTTTCTTACAGTGCCCGTTAAACTGGCTAAAGAATTCCAGCAAATAACACACATCAAAGTCCAGGGAACACTTGACATGAAGATTTTAAATGAGAGGTGTTAAAACATTTACCATTCTGCCTTGCAATATGGTATCTATCGGTTTTCCTACATGCATCCTGAGATATGAGTTTTTTGTTTTACTCTGAAAGCCTTTAGAGGTTTCTTGCTTTGCCATTTATTTTAATGTGTGCATCTTCCAACAGGGTAGTCAATTAATTTGGCTTTTCAGTTCTTTCATCTCAAAATTCTGACAGGTCTAGCAGCTTTCATAGAAGTGAAGGTATTTGTGGTTTTCTCTCTTTTTTTCACTTAAACATTTGACATTTTATGTGAATATTAGCAATGTATTGTTGAGTAACCATCCTGTATCAAAAAGTCCTAATTGCCTGTATTCCATGAGGTTATTGACCGTGTTGTTTTCTTCGTGTTGATATACTTTCATCAAAATCTTGAGTCTTGAAATAACACGATCTCACTCTGTCTAGAACAGAATTTGGTTACATAGAAAATTTTTCACTGCTGCTTCTCAAGCAGCATAATCTGGACAGTTTGGGTGATTCATCTCCAGGGCTTCCTACAGCATATGTCACAAAGGCTGAAGTTCAGATTTGAAAAGAAGCACTTACTTCTCTGACAAGCTAGCAGTAACTTCTCCTAATGTTGTGCCTTTAATAAACTGTATGCATTATGTTCCCATGAGATTTGCTTTCTTTTTCTGACAAAATACAAGTGACATTTCTTGTACATCTGAAAATAAGTTACAAAAGGAGAAGTAAACCAGTTTCAAGAATGCTGTATCACAAGGCTGTTAGGAAATCTTTTTTCAGTTGGAGATATGCTGTTGTGAACCAACAGTTTCTTTCTTTGAGGTTAAGAAATTTGAAAGAAAAGATCACATCAGCCTAGCTGTTAGAGAAGTGGGAAACGGTATCAGATTAAATTAATGTGTACAGAGATAATATAGCACACTTCATTCTAGATAAAAATTGAAAATTAGTGAAAATAAGTATGAATCTGAGGAATTGTTCAGAAATAAATGAACTATTTAAAACTAAATATGTGCATAAGTGCTTCTGCTAGGCAGGGAAATATGTTCTTTTTCGAGTTATCTAACCATTGCTTTTCTAATTCTTCCTTGTCTTCTAAATGGCTCAGATTATGGTTCAGAACATCCTAAATTAATAATGATAGCAAAAGATGTGTCTTACAGAACACTTACAGATCTAAAGGTAATGATTGCAGTGTGCTGTTTCTAGCTTTAAAATATTTAGAATTTAAATCCCATATAAAGATAATAAAGGATGTGTATAATTTTGAAGAGTGATGTAAACTGTATAATCAGTAAGAAGATATTTGTAATAAATTTGTTTAACAACTGACTGAAAAATAGGTTGAGTTCACTTGTGTGTTACATTTGTGCTTTTTTGGATTTGTAGATGTTGGGAGTAAAATTCATTTATATGCAGGTGACAGGTTATATATTCCTGTTATTGATTTCATATTTATGTCTTGTTGTACAGCTGCTGATTCTTGTCTCTTTAATGGCTTTGATGGAAACAAGGCTCTTTACTGCTGTTACTGTGTGTGACATACCTCGGAACACAGGATTGGGAGAAACTGGTGGTTTTACAGTTCCAGTCCTCTTTGATAGTGTCCGAGATGAAATGAATACACTTCTGAGACTGTCGCCTGGAGACCACGGAAACTGCTACAGTAAGTGCGGTTAGGGATTGTCTGGGAAGCAACAACCGTGTATGCAACTAATGTTTCTTGAACAACAGTAGTATTCATTTTTATAGCTTAATGGACAAAATACTTGGCTAATTGTAACTATTTTTCTTCACAACTTTTAGCATTGGAGTTATCTGTCCAGAAATGAGTTAGTTCTCATGCTTTATGGATTGCAAAGATGAAGCAGAAGATATGGAAGGAGTAAATTTAAGATGGAATAAATACCTGAAAGCAAAGCAAGCTGGGAAAAATGTAAAAAACTTCCAGGTTTAGGCTAAGAGGTAGTTCCAAAAGCTAAATAGACTTAAAGTCCTTTTTTGTTTTGAATCCTTACTACATGTGGAAATATTATACAGACAGTGTGCTTGTTGATAGAGGGATTGTGAGAAAGGGGGTTGAATACTCTGTTTCTTTTTGGTTTCTTTTTTTATTTAGAGTGAGATCAGAGGAAATGTTATTGTCTTAGCTTTTTTGATTCAGTTTAGGATGTACGTGTATAAGTTTTGGTAGTGGCACTGTGGGGCTGCAGAGTGGCCTCTGTGAGGAGAGGCTGAGTCTCTCATGTGCCCTAAAGAGCAAATTCTGGCCAATTCCATCCAGCTTCAGCAGACTTGTCACAGGGCACAAACCTTACACTGAAAACATACTTTTACCTCTATGTCAAGGTCCAGCTGAATACCTTGTAGTTCCCAGCAAATACATGCAACACATTTTTTTACTTCTTTTCTTAGTTTTATAATTTTGAAATATCAAAACCTCTCACTGATATGTCAACAAATGTATAAGTAGGAGTTTTGTAACTAGTATTTAGTAGACAATGACATATATGAGAAGTTTTCAAAACTATTTGAATTCCTGTATCACATCCTAATATAAAAACATTTACTCTGTTTTCTTTTTAATATAGCTGCCATCCAATACATATAATGGAATAAGTCTCTTCTACATTGCAAAAATTAATATTCACAGAAAACATGGCAACAATAATTAAGGGGAATAAATGTGTATCTGAACTTAATCTCATTTCTCCTACTTTGGGGCCTTGACAAATTCTAGTAGCCTGGTAGCATTCTCACTCCTTTCTGATTATATTCTTGTCATAAAAAGCATATCAATAATTAAACCATTAATTAAAAAAATCTCTGAAATCTGGACACATAGCCCTTCATAATAGATTCCAGTATCTGCCCGTGTGTAGCCACTAAAGTACAGACAGTCATTTAAAACTGGTAAAGCCCATAAAGGAAGTTTTGGTGGGATGGCCTTGGCTGGCAGCTAGACACCTACCCAGTCACTCTTGCAGTCCTCCTTCTTAGCAACCTTTGGGAGAACTTAAGACAGAAAAGCTCATGGCTAAAGATAGGAACAGGGAGATCACTCACCAATTACCATCATGGACAAAACAGACTCAACTTAGGAAAAAATATTTTATTACCGCTTCAAATAGAGTTGAATTGTGAGAAACAAAACCAGAAAGATAAAAGAACTTCTTCCCAGCCCCTTTTTCTCATTCTTATGATTGTGACAATTCACCAGTAATAATGGCAAATATAAAAAGTTTTCAAAACGGTTTTAAGTCTATCTGTGTCCTGTCAAGAACATGCTAATAGGAAAACTCCTTCACTGCTTCATTTCCAACTCCTCAAGGGACAGGAGTAGTGGTCAGCCCACAACAGGTCCTCTCTGCTGCTTCTTCCTTCTCACACTTGTTCGCTACAAATCACTACAGTTGCTCTATTGGTATTGATTAACCACGAACACTCAGTACCGATTCACTTTGCTGCTGTACTTTAGAATAATGGATGACTGAGATTTGGTACCTCATCTATTGCCCGTGGTGGCATCCAGTAATTCATCATACAAGTATTGACTACTAATACCTCTTTAATACCCTCTGCTTTGCTTTCTCGTTAAATAACTATTTTGTATGTTAAGCTTCTAGCACTTCACACTTCTTTTTTTTTAACTATCACTGAGAAATAATCAGAAACGTTTTATAATTCACATGTTGAGTAAACAGCACTGGTACACCAAATATTCCTCAGGATGAGTCAGTTGTAAGCGCAAACTGAAAATCTGCATTTGTAATTTTATATGTAGAATTGAAAGATATCATATAGTTGTAGGAAAAAAACCCCTGCTTTTGTATGCCTTAATTTCAGGTTTCTTTTTTTTTTTCTGTGTTTTTGTGAGTAACCTTGTTTTTACTGCTTTGCTCTGTCCAGATGCTGAAAAACAATTTCATATTTACTGACTCATGGCAATGCCTATTAACTTCTGCATAATCTAGATCTGATGATAAAATTGGCTTAGCAAACAAGTGAAGATGACCTTTGGGGTATCTGTTTAGTCCTTAGTGGCTATCTGCTCGAATCATAGAGCCATAATACCAGATAACTCCTGTCAGGCCCTGCACAGGAGAGGTCCAGATCAAGAATAGCAGGGGTGTTATAGATCAGGACTGAAATGCATTCACAGAGCTCTGCAGGGAAGTTTGTGTAACATCTGCTAGTACGATATTGGGCATTTTTAACCATGGCTAGCAATCCCTTACTTGAACAAATACAGTAGAAATTCACTCCATGCCTTAGAAAACCTCTGTCAATCCATCAAAGAAACTTAAATCCAACAGCAAAGTCAACGACCTAGATTTCAGGAACAGAAGCAGAGAGGCTTAGGGAGAGGAGGTAAACAAAAGTAAACCTATGGGTTGAACATGCTGTCTATAGCTGTTGTTGTTGCAGTTTTTCTTCCCAGTAGTGGGTGCGGTTTAATTTAAAGAGTGAGATAAGGAGCATAGGTGTGAAAAATGCAGATATGTTTTGCATCTTCATTGGCATTTGCAGGAATAACACTTGCAAATAGATTTTTAGATGGTTTGTCTAATATGTTATATGTTTATTAGGATTTTTTTTCAAATGTAGTCTTTATTTTAAAATTCATTGAAAGATGAAATATCCAAGAGGATTATACAATACTATGTAAAGGACTAAGAAGTTTAGAAAAGATATTGAAGTCACAGATGAGGAGAGCTACAGTATTGTTACAGTGTTATATGTATCTTAGTTGCTAGAAAACACTTTGGAAAAGAAAGAGATGAAGATAAAAGTGTCGCTGTCTTTCTTTCCCTTCTCCTTGTAAACTGCACCAGAAGCATTGTGAGCTCTATTTTGTTTTTTTTGAACAGTGACCAATACCTAGAATATGAAAGGAACATTGAAGATTGCAGTAGACAATTTATTTTACGTGACTTTCATGCTTTTATGCTTTTATATGGTAATGTTAGTTATTGAAAACTGAAGTTCACTTTGGTTAGCTTCTTTATGAAGGGTTATGACTTCTCATGTTCATATGAATGGGGACACACATTTTTCTTCCATCATGGTTAAAGACAGTATTGCATCTTAGAGGATTTTTGTTCCTTTTAGACAAAGCGAAGACAGAAGTAACAGACATGCTAACAAGTGCAGAACTGAGAACTTGGAGTAGAATGTGCCCAGGCAGAATTATTCTGAGAGAGACACTGCAATGTATATAAAATTTTGCACTCGCACATCTAAACTAGTACAATAACTAATTTTGAAATGCTATTGACAGGTAAGTACAACTGACTAAAACTTGATGTAAAATATTCTAGTCCTATGGAATTACAGAGCCGGATGATTAAAGAGAATATAGTTCTTGTTAACTTGCAATTTCCTAGACAGAAAAAGAAGGGATATGTTTTTATTAGTGTTTATGTTCATTATTTATAAATATGTACCTTTGTTTTAATTGGAATGATCAGTTCTTTACTCTTAATGGGGAAGAGGAGGCTTAATATTAATTCCAGACCTCCAAGAAAGTAATTTCCACTTTCAGGTGCATTCTCAGATTGCTACTTTGTGATAGTATGTATGAAAGTAACAGTTGTAAATGCTGGGTCTCTGAGAGGCTTGTGCATTTATGAAAACCATTTACCATGGGCCTTGTTAGCTTCTCAGTGTAACAAACCTTTCCCTCAGAAAGAAATTCAAATGTTATGAATTATTGCAGCCCAGGTAGAATAGGGAGTGAAGACTGAGACTGTAGCTGTACAGGCTGTGAAAAGACTGGTGTGAAGAGGAAGATCATTAACCAGAGGATTAAGAAAGCAGTCCAGGTAAACAGTAAGATATAGATGGTCTAAAGATTAACATAAGATTCCTGTATGGGAATATCTGTGGAAAAGGAAGGGCTACTTCAGTGTTCCCTTAAAGAAAGTGGACTGGTGGCCCTGAAGATGGTGGAGTGAAAGCTGAGGAATTACTCAGAGGTGCAAAATGAGGTGTGAAGTTCTGTGAACCTTGAGACTGCTTTGAACTGTTACCAGTAGTTTCTGAAATTTACAGACAGGGATATGTTGTAGATCCTTGTATGTTTTTGCAACTCCTTGTGTTTTTCATGATGTAATTTTGAATGATTCTGGGACATTTCAAGTTGGTTTGTGTTAAAAAAAAAAAAAAGAAGGAAAAAATACTGTAGTGGAAGACTGCAGTTACTGAAAAAACATGAGTTACTAAGTTTTTTAACACGTGATTGCAAAGTATGTAAGTAGAAGAATAATCAGTTTGGTTCTCACACTTAAATTGCAACAGTAGATTTTTCTCTGGGGATATTTTTCCACATATCATAAGACATATTTTCCTAAATGTTTACCTTTCTTTCCATACCATTTCTGTCTGCAAACAATTAGGAGCAAAGCATGGTACTAGATAATGCAAGCTACCTGCACTAACTCGGTATAGTCCAAGATGACACTATAGGTCCCCATCTTTATGAGTGTAAATAAGTTAAGAAGTTTATGCAGTTTAAAGGAAATAACAGATAGAACTGTGGATAAGACAGGAGAAAGAAAAAATACAGACTCTATGTTTGTGATGTAAAGGTTAAATGAGAGGAAGATCTGAGGATGATAGTAGAATTTTATCAAATACCAGTAAAAATTCTAGGTGGCTTTGATAGCTATATAAATCATAACATTGGAATTCTGTATGTAATTCTGAATGTGAAAGGGTTCAAAAAAGTAAAAAGAGTAAACATATGACATAGAGTGACATTCTTAAATCACATTTCAGCCTAAGAACTGAAAAAAAATGAAAACAAACCCTGTACATAGGAGAATAGATTTTTTCCTGTCTTACATACTCTAGGCATGATTTCTTACTTTTGAGTTTTCTTTCATTTGGGAAGCATTGTACTAATGGTCAGCTGGAAAAGGCAGAGCAAAAACCTTGAACTGATATGACACTGATCTGTAACTTTGTGGTCAGCTGGGTAAATAGGGATTTAGGTCCTATTTTGAAAATATGTATTTACTTTGTAAAATATAATGGTTTGAGGGGGAAAAAGTCTCACTATGCTCTATAAGCTATATATGCATTTTGGGCACTTTTAAAAGTGAGTGAAATGGCACTTTTTTACTAATAAAAAGGTCTCAAATCGAATGAGTGCATGCAAAACATTATTTTCTGACACTTAGAATAAGATCTTTAGTATTTTAATTTACCATTGATTTATCCACAGTCACTAATCTCAAAAGTCCAGCTGTTATTTACAGTTTTGGAGCTATGTCACTATTTACTTTGAACTTTTTGGTAACCTCTGTGTTGCTATATGAATCTATAAAGTTAATTAACATAGAGACACTAAGATTTTCAGTTTGTTTTGTTCAAGAATATCACTAAGGCATACTTTAATTAGATTAGTTTTAGATGCATACAGAGTTGGTATGGATTCAGGTACCATTCATGGTAATAGGGGCAAAATCCTTCCCTCAAATAAAGAGGTTTTGCAACTTTGTTGACTTTAGTGTTATATAATCAGTGTGGAAACAGATTATGCTAGTTCATTTGGAGTTTTTTCAGGAGGAATATAATAAACAAGAAGTTATTAAGGAGTACTGACTTCATAATTTAAACCTTGGAATTGTGTTCCTAAGAATGCAAATTATAAACTGGCCATTAAATTTACCTAAGACGACTTTTTATAACCATTGGAGATAGCATTGACAAGGCTTCAGATTCTGAGGAATATAGGGAAAGCAAATCTCTAGTCAGCTTTCTGGTGAAACCTGAGCACTTTATGAATTACATATCATGCAGTTGTTTGGAATTTTAAAGTATTGATTTTCATGACTTGGGTTTTCTTCTACTTCTAAGCAAGTAAATTTGCATTGCAGGGACAAATTGTCGGCCATTACTCTAATTTGCAGAGATGATCAATTACCTAGTCCTTCCATGTGTACCTTTGACTTCTCTTTCAAATAAAATGAAAAAGATATCTTTGCATCTTCAATTTTTTAAAAATCCATTTCTACATGGGGAGAAAAAATATAAATGTTATCTCTTAAATCAGAATACATCATTAGATCAGAATAAGACTTGCAAACTCAGAACTTCTACCAGCGGAAATCAATGTACAAAAGCCATGAAGAAGAGAAATCCTAGGTAAGTAGTGTAATTAGATAAATGTTACCTGTAAAAATTCTGGAATCTTTGTGTGAAATGAACCAAAGCAATAAGAGCCTGGAGAGGAAATTTGGAACATGAGCAATGTGAGTTTATATGAGGATACGAGAGAAGACTGATAGGTCTAGGTGGTAATTTTTTGTGTGTCATGATTGTGTCTGTGCAAGTGGTTCTGAGTCTACCATTAATGTTCTCTGGCACTGGCTCACATTCATCTGGAGTGATACACAATCAGAATGCTTCTTGGCATGAATTTGGCCTGTGCCATCCAAAGCTCTGCCCACCTCCCTCCCTGGGTATGGTTTGGCAGTTAAAATGCTCTCACAATTACTAGAATAGATAAGGCTGTGCTGCTTTGGCATGCTCCTTCTGGCATGGCTCTACAATCATCCCAGCAGGCCTTCTGCCATTCCCCAGGGCATGCCAGATGCACTTTTGGCATTGTGCTATACAAACACCATTCTTATGAGGGTCTGTGATGTAATTTGCTGATTTTCCACAGTTGGAAAGCAAGAAACAGAGCCTTGGTATTGAGGAGATTGGAGGTGACCATCCTCCTTACAGTCTGCAAGAAACCAAGTGAGAAATGAAGTTGAGGTCTGGCTAGACATCTCTTCATCCATCACTAGCTATGCCAAGATTGGCTTGCCCCCTTTGCCCAAGACTGATGATCAGATACTTCCACACACCAAGTAGGGCAGGCTACATGTGTCTGCACCTTTATGAGAGGCTTGGAATCTTCGACTGGGAGACCTTCCCAAGATCCGGCCATAGGGCATGGTTTTAAGATGTTTCCTCCTCCTAAGAACCATGCAGGGCCAGAGTGTAGAACCTGAGAGAGGTCCTTGTCCTTTCTTCTGCTTCTGTCATTAATGTAATATATCCTAGTGGCAGTCTGACCTTTTCACTTGAGTGAAAATTACGTTCTTTACTCATAAGGAGCTGTGTTTTGGGATCTGAACAATGGAGACACTATCTAAGGGTCTGGAACAGCCAGCACTATGAATTGTGATTTATGACAGTGAGAGGCTATTAAGAGGTCTCAAATAAGTCTCCCTTGGGCACTTTTGCATGGCTGACAGCATCAGCTTAGGAGAATTTCTGCTAGAAATGATCCACAGTAGGGCCTTCTCTCCTGCTGGGTGTGGAGGTTTTCTTCCTATTAAAGAAGAGGGTAGCCAGTGGGGCTTGAGAACACAAGCCGTCTGGTCAAAATCGAGACAAACAAAGCCTTGGGAAAGTTAGATTTTTTCATGCATAGAAGCGGTATTTGATGTTTTGTACCCAACAGAGATGACAAACTGTGATAAGGCTTGGCATGGGGTACATTATTAAATGCATGTAGGGTATACTGATGGATGGCTTTTATGAAAAGAGGGGAGTTTGACACATACGTGATGCTAAAGAGATGCGTGACTGAGTAAATAGACTGAGGTGTGTTTATGGTGGTTCTGTTTCCAACTGTGTTGTTTTGAGAGAGAGAAAGTTCAGTAGTGTAGATGAGTAGGTCTTAGTGACCAGTAACCATTCCTTGCTATGTTTAAGTTACATCTGTAAAGCCTGGGTTCTTTGCTCTTCTTCTGTCTTAGAAGACAGGCACTCTACTGGACTGCATTGTAGAGGTCTCTGTGCTGCTGCATAGAAGAGCTCACGCAAGGTCTCTGTGTGCTGTGCAGGATGCGGAATGTGATTCCCATAATAGCAGTGGGATACTACTGTCAAGTCTGTCCCTTGGTATCTTCCACTTGAGATTCTTCTGTGGGTCTTAATAGTTTAAATTGGTTGTACATTGCCCTGTCATGTAGCGGGTAGAGATGGCAAGGAGGTAGGAACTGAGGCCCAGTGTTTGCCACTAATGCAACATGGATAAATGTGCTGCTGGGAGTTTAGAGCAGAGACTAAGAACTTTATTTGACGTAGTTTCTTTAAACAGTTTATTGGAAGGGGTTACAGTAGTATGTTTGAGACAGGAAAGTCAGATGTGGATTGTATGCTGAAGGGTGTGTGATGGTGAGACACAGAATCATAGTTCACTGTTGTACTAAAGAAAACTCCCGATGAAATGAAGTATGAATCCAACTCAAAGGAGCGATGAGGCATTCTGTTTCAGTGTTACTACAACGAAAAAGCAGGACTTCCATCTTGTATACTTGTTTGTTGTCTTTGGAGTAGACTTGGATCATGAGACAAACAGCCTGCAGTATTTTTCTTATTCATAGTAAAATAGAAAAAATTGCCAAGCTGCCTTTTTTTCTTTTTAAAGAAATACACACTCTTCCTTTAATTTCTTCAAATGAAAAAGAAATGACTAAGAAAACTTTTTAATAGATCAAATCAATGTTGTTTTCTTTTATCTTGCTTGGGCCAAATTGTAACATAGAGAATTTAACAGCATTGTTGATCAGAGACTTTAAGCAGTACATATTTACAAAAATGTCAGTGAATATCAAAAATGGAAAAATATTAATTTATATATTAATATATTAATATTAATGTCATTAAGGGATACTAAGAAGTTTACTGATAATACTAAACTGGGAGGAGCTGTTGACATCCTGGAGGGCAGAGAAGCCCTGAAGAGAGACCTCAACAAACTATATATATATAATGGCCAGTCTTCGCGAATGAAGATTTTGAGAAAGGTCTTTTACCTTTCAAGCCTGCACAATGGATTTTTTAGGTGAGTCACAGCATGCGCTGAACTGAGCCCACCCTTTAATCCTAAGGTTCATCTGCCGGGGCCAAGCGAGCTTGGACAATGGCAGTGAGGTCCTCAGGACGTAGGTTTGTTTAGAGTGACCTTCTCATAGATGGATGGCCTTACAGGGCTAAGGAGCTCCATCTGCCCCGGGGGACCGGGGAATCGAACCTGGGTCGCAGCAGTGAGAGTGCCGCATGCTAACCACTAGGCCACCAGGGGTCAACAAACTAGAGAGATAGGAAATCACCAACCATATGAAGTTCAACAAAGACAAGTTCCAAATTCTGCACTTTGGATGGCACAACCCTGGATGTACGGACAGACTGGGGAATGAGATGCTGGGAAACAGTGCTGTGGAAAGGGACCTGGGGGTCTTGGTTGATAGCAAGTTGAACATGAGTCAGCAGTGCCCTGGCAGCCAGGAGAGTCAACCATGTCCTGAGAGTCATCAGGCACAGCATCGCCGGCCAGTCGAGGGAGGGGATTGTCCCGCTCTGCTCTGCACTGATGCAGCCTCACCTTGAATATTGTGGCAGTTTTGGGCACCGCAATATAAAAAGACATTAATCTGTTAGAGAGTGTCCAAAGGAGAGCAATGTAGATAATGAAGGGACTGGAGGAGAAGCCGTATGAGGAGTGGCTGAGAGCACTTGGTCTATTCAGCCTGGAGAAGAGGAGACCAAGGGGAGATCTCATTGCAGCCCGCATCTTCCTCATGAGGGGAAGTGGAGAGGCAGGTCCTGATCTCTTCTCTCTGGTGATGAGTGACAGGACTTGAGGAAATGGCCTGAAACTGTGTCAGGGGAGATTTAGGTTAGATATCAGGAGAAGGTTTTTCACCCAGAGGGTGTTCAGGCAGTGGAACAGGCTCCCCAGGGAAGCAGCGACAGCATGAAACCTGACAGAGTTCAAGAAACATTTGGACAATACTCTTAGGCACATGGTGGGATTCTTGGTGGTGTCCTGTACAATGCCACAAGGACTTTGATGATCCTTGTGGGTCCTGTTCAACTCAGGATATTATATGTTTCTATAAGTTTAAAGAAATGTTATAAGGTAATGTTAAAAAGAGAACATATTAATGTTTTGAGTTTTATATTTATGAGTTGAATATTTAAACTCTAAACATAAACATTGGTACTACCTGCAGTGTGCATATCTTTTCTATTGTTGATTCTTCACTGTGATAATACATTTTTGAATTAAATGCAGAAATATGGTACAATTTAACTTGTTTCTCTGTTTGCGGTAAAATATCTTTCTCTGACCTTGTATTCAGAGGAACAATAGAATATAACAAAGGTCGCATAAACATGTTGTCAGTTGACTTTTAAATGGTAGAAAAATAGAAATAATGCATGATTTAATATTTAAAAACACGGAAAGCTTATTAACTAATTTTGATGCTGGTCCTCCCTGTCATGGGTTTACTTGCTCTAAAAAAAACTAAATGGGAATTTTCTTTCCCCTGCTGCAATGTGGGGGAGGGATATTGAATGGGGAGGATAGTTTTCTGCGTTGGGTGGTTGACCTACAAAAAGGAGCCAGCTGGCAGAATTACATTGCAGGCTGATAGCCTCTCTAAGGCCGGGGGAGGTGGGGGTGGCAGTGAGGAGTTTTTCTCCCCTCGTCTCCTTGGAAAGAGGCACTTAACTTTTTGCCTTAATGGGAGCAAGGTGTGTGCTGGAAAAGCTCTGAGGCTGTTTTGCTCTCGACCTGGTCATCTGGCTGTTCTCCGGCCTTGGCTTGCCTACGGTCCACTCTGTCGCCAGCCGGACCTGCTCAGATTTCATCAGAGAGTTTGAGATTGGCGAGGAAAGGGGGGAGTCCTGACCATGGCCAGCCGCAGACATCATGAGTTTCGTGGGAAAGAAACCACCCTCCTTTCCCCTTTTTCACCTTCCCCTCCTTGGTGGGGGGAGAAAGTCTCCATTGTCGGCTTCTCCTGCGATCCGGGGCCCCCACACGGCGACCACCAGAGCCCAACAGCGCCCCCTGCCGACCAACACCGAGCACTGCAGGCTCTGCTCCTCCAGTGATCCAACAGCGCCCCCTGCCCACCGTGATTGGAATCGCGTCAGAGGACAGAGAAGTATCAAACTGTTTCTTTTGAAGGGGACTTTTGGTTACAGGATTGTTGTTCAGTTGTTTTTTGTGTTCTTTTGCTGTTTTTGCCAATATACATATATTCTTTAATAAAGAGTTGTTATTTCTTCCTTTTTCCATACTTCCTCGATTGGAGCCTCTGAATTGCTGAGAGAGAGGAGTTTGGTCTACCTCATAACTCATCCTCCTTAGCAAAACACTTCAGTCTCCTTAAACTGAGACACTCCCATAGATTTGGAACGTTACCACATATCCAGAACTTGCAATGCAACATCATTACAGAAATTCCTAGCTCAGCACCAAACAGACTCCTCAGCAAAATAACATGCTGATATACAAGTTTAGCCCCTGTACTGCAGTATTATGATACTATTTCTGCCTCTCAGCAGGTTAATTAGCTTGGGAATGGCAGAGTGCTTTTGATATTCATCTCTAAAATTACTTCGTTCAAAGCTGGTTTTGCTATTTCTGTGCACTGCTTTCATGTATCCTTAATAGCGTTGTTTTCATGTTTTCTCATCTATAATTTGAGCTCAATTCCAATCATCATCTCAGGAAAACATTTAGGTCTAGAAATTTTTAAAGGATTCTACAGATTATATATAGTCTGCCTCCACCCTTTGGACATTTTTGGGAACGTCAAGTGTCAGTCGGGCAATGTTTCTACCAACCTATGGAGATTCTGTAAAAAAATCTCATTAGAAATATTTTCCTTCATAAACCCTGTTGAAAATTTACTATCCATAAATTTCTAGGTTCTGTTGACTTTGTTATGTAGCCTCATGAATGCATTTAATGATTTGTTTTCATTTTTCCTGAATGAGGGCCCTAATTTATAAGATATTTTATCATTAAATATAAAGTATAAAATTAGTTATTAACATTTAGATGATATTCTAGCTGAAAGTAGATAGGGCTTTACATTTCTCTGTGAATTTAATTTTGTTCTCAGTAGGTAATCAAACCTAGTGTCTAGTGAAACTTTCCACATGCATATTTGTAGTAACCTTCTTTCTTTGGTTCTCCAGTAATTAGGAAAACAGTAATTTTTCCATCAACAATCCAAACTGTATAAATCTATAAATCAGTGATTTTTAAACTTGTGACCATATTTAGATGAAATAATAGATGAACTAAGGCAGGTGTATTACTAGACTGATAAAGACATTAATTTCGTAGGTAATACAATTGATAATGAGGATCAGTGCTTAGACTAGCTGCCCTAGTTAGAACAGCTGGGACCAATTCATCACTGGATGGGTGTAACCGAAACCTGTGTATTCTATAGCCTTCCATGCCATTTCCCAGAAACTGTTATCAATAGAGCATTTACACCCTCTGCCCAGAGCAGCCTGACTCCTCAGGCTATAAACTAGGCGTTAAGAGGCCTGCGAGATAGGAAGATGTTCCTGTCCTCACACCCTTTTGTGGAATTCCCCGCCCTGAGGGAAGGACTGAGCATTCCTGCCTGAACTGCAGAATTTATAAACTTGGAGTTTTGGAACCTTTTTACCACTCGTGGGATCCAGAGGAATACTGCAGCTCACCGCTCTCAACCAGACTGAGACCACCACCCTCAACTGGACTGCAATCACCATTTTTGACCAGACTGCAACAGCTCTCCCACCAGCAGGTTTTTCCCCTCTCCCTTTACTTTGGACTCAGGGGGGCCCAAGGAACCCCACTTTTGTTCACGCCCCAGGGTGCTGGGTTATACATTTGGGTTTTGTGTGTTCAAACCAATTGTTTGTGTGTATAATCGTACTTATTGTATTATTTTATTAAATTGTTATTCTGACTTATAATCTCTCTTTTCAGTTGAGCTCATTTCCCCTGCTGGTTAACTTTTAAACCAGCACACTAGCAAATAGCCATATAATTAATTTAAATAATAGAGACATAATAATGTTTAGCGTGGAATAGAAGTATTGAAGTTAAAGTGATTAAGGATGGTAAGGCGCTGGAACAAGTTGCCCAGAGAAGCTGTGGATGCCCCATCCCTAGAAGTGTTCCAGGCAAGGTTGGGTGGGGCTTTGAGCATCCTGCTCTAGATACTGAGTGATTGGAACTAGATGATCTTTAAGGTCCCTTCCAAACCATTCTATGATTCTGTGACTAAGTGCTGATACTTTTAATGTATTAAAAGTTGGGAAAGGATTAAATATCCTGGCAGATTTCTTTAAATAGTTAATAGATGGTAATATTGATTTATATTTTTCCCAAGAAGACAATTCAGGAAGCTTAACATGTGAATATACACTTATAAACCTAGCAGATGAGTTTATTGTGGCACCTATTTATTGTTTAGGTAACATCTGTGTTCATTCCAAGTAAAATTACGGTTTCTAGGAGGCTAGTTAATGCTACTTAGCTGTTTCTCACAAATATTTCTCTTTTTTTCATCTTTGTAGCTCAAATTACATTCTCAAAGAAAAGAGGTCTTATTTATTTTAGGATTATACAAACAGAAATGAATCTCAACACAGGGGTCAGGAGATAAATCTGCAAAGTGTTCTAAAAGATGGTGAATTTGCCAATGTCACTAATTTAGGAATGGCTACAAGTGTACTGGGACATCAGGTGGAATTCAAAACCATTTCGACAAACTGGGGGAATGGCTCTTCCCTCAAGGGATCTCAAGGAAGCCTTAACTACCAGCTTGAAGCCAGACAACAGCTTGAAGATGTTTAGCTTAGAGATAAGTAGACTGGAAAATAAGTTGTCAAATACTGCAAAGGCTCCTGCAAAGGTGTAATACTGTGTTCTTGTTTTCCAT